TCATAGATTTATTTCTTACAACATTAGTCTGGTTTACTCGATGCGGAAAAAATATTTTTTCACACGTCTAAATCCAGACTGTGTGCCAAACAGATCATGGTACAATAATCTGTATGGAAAAGAAAAGCGTTCCATGCTTTGCATGTGGGCTAAATACTGCCAGGTTGCCCAGGCCAAAGCGACTGAATTTTCTTGAGGAATCCTCAACGGGAGCCTTTGGGCAGTCAGAGCCTGACCCGCAAGGCAGCGGGATGGTGTACGAAAACCGCAATCCATTGGGGGTCGATGTCCATTTCATTGGATCATACGCCCTTTGGATGGAGTCAAACGTGTCCAATACACCACTGCCACAAGCAGGAGGGTGAGTGTGGTTTCACTCAAAATCGGGTTGAGTTGCACTACTTTTATTGTTTCTTGTATTACGTTTATTTTGGGTAATCCTGATATCGTTTGTGATAAAAAAATATCGGATTTTAGGGAATTGAATGTCAATATACGATAGGGAACATGCTTACCACCAGTACTGAGGATAGTCATAGTAGAAGGGGAGTTGTGATTAAATGACCAAAGTTCATGACCCCATGTGCTCAAGAGTGCAAAGATGACTAAAGAACTTTCAAGTGTCACACGAGTTTTCATAAACTCTGTAATGGACCGTTTGACTGGCCTGTTCCAAAACGACAAAGTTATCATAGACAGGCTTGTGATAGTGAGATCGATTTGCGGACACCTGTCGATCAGATTAATCCGACTATACTGTTCTAATAAACAAATAACTGTTTTTTTACCTCCTTGTTTTTGTTTATTAATCATAGAAACGTACCATAAACTTTCAGGAAGAGTATGTCGTGGCCACACAAAAGTTATTCAACGATCAGGTTTACAAAACGTTCTACGGTTTTGTAAAGCGAATTATCTTGTCCATTTCCGTCGATTCGTGCTGCATGCCTTCTCCATCGTTTGTTAAATACTGTTCCGTTCTTGTCTCTTTTTACGTTTGCAGGTGTCTGCTCTGATCACCAATCTGGCTCGTGCTTCCGAACCGGGGATAAAGAGTACATTTTTTGCACATATACGGAATGAACTATTGCGCTGGGTGTCAGAAACTCCGAAATCCACATGGAATGAGACATCTTCATCTTTCGAGGACCCAATAAACCAAACCACACAGCTTGGTCTGTTGGATTCTTTGCGTCTCACGCAATTCGCCAATTGTCTGGCACACGTTGCATCTGCACAAGGCTCATCAAGAACTCAACTTGCCCGGTCCACTCGGCTACAACAGCAACCAGCGGTGCGACGTAATCTGCCGGTCACCCCCACGGTTGTCCAAGATTCCTGGTGCATAGATCTCTTCAAGGAAATTTGCCGCAAGATTGAAGCGCACTTCTCTTCGGCTTCTTTGGATTCCCTCGTTCAAACCGGTTTCTACGTCGCCTATCTAAGCCTGTCCAGCTACTTGCCCGAGACAGTTCCAGTTTGTTTGCCCCATGTGGAGGAAAAACTTTTCACTGTGATACTGCCGACATTATCGGATGATCTTCTCAGTCTGTTTTTGATGGAATCCGCGGTCCGTGGCCTGGTCCGCTCTTGGTCAGTCTGTTCCGAACACCCGAGCCCAGCGATCAGTTCATCCACGCTCACTCGACATCGTTTTCTTGCCGCTGTACTTCCCACTCTAATTGACGTTGTATCTCCTCAGTCCACTTTGTCTCAGCGCATTCCTGATTTGTGCTTGGAATGGGCCAACGAATGGATTCGAAAGCTGCTGTCTAACAGCAGCTATCCGGATGCTCTGTCATTAAATGATCTGGCTGCTCTGGTATCACTGGCATACACGACGACGTCAACCACGAACCACCCGATTTTAGTGAAACTCCGTGGTTCCTTACTTTCAGCACTTTTGGCGCATCTACGACAGTACATCCCCAAGGAAAAGCTTTCTGATCTGACCACATTGCCAGCCCCCTTGTTGCACAACATGTCTGTTTTATGTCTCATGACCTTGGAAGAAATCTGCCCGTCTTCGGGTCGGCTGCCGGAATTCGATGATGAGGTGAATTCACAGATCACGGAACTTCTTGTCATCTTTCTGCGCTTAGTTTTGACTCTGTACGTGGTGCATCATTTCGCCTGTGTGGCTTCAGTTCTTGACCCTACCAGAAATAACCTAGCGACATTACTCTCTGCTCCCGTAGTCCATACCCACCCTTCAGGAATGCCGGATTTATCGGATCCTCCGACTCATTCGCTATTCGAGCTTCCACTGACCGTACTGCTTTGTCGAATTGAACGTTTTTTCCTCTCTTCATCTGCATTGATTAAATTGTTATTACCCAAGGTTTCTATTCCACTGATTTTACACCATATAGTCCATTTGGCATACGTGCCCGTACAAATGATTCAGTTCGTCGAATTGTTTTTAAAACAGTTTGTGCTTACTGTGGATCCTAGTGCTAATTCCTTATTGTACAACTTTTGGTTGTCTGCAACCATCGAAGCGATGATGGCTGTGATTGACCAGGTCACCGAATGTGAGTCGTTCCCGATGCACACCCGTGTTCCTCCACCACGCCCCGTCCTGTTTCCGGCTGGTCTGTTGCCTGTAAATGTGGCACCTCATCTCGGACGCTTGTTTCGCATCTGGCAATTGGGATCCCGACTGAATTTAACCAATAGTTCACGATGTTCTGTGGAGTCCGATCAATGGGTCCAGTATATGTACTGTTTGGGTGTACTGAGAGGCGGTCTAGCTTGTCTATCTGAACCTTTAGACCCTTGTGTGACTTTCGGCTGGCCTTCACCATTCCCCGATTCCGAACTAACCCAAAGTGAACAGGATCAACAGCCAATCGGTACTACCGCAAACGGTCACTTGGACCCAGCCCGAGCAGCATTTGGTCAGTGGGAGTCTGCGGTCTCAACGCAACTTGGTTTATGCTGGCACAATGCAACTGCAGATATCCAGCTTTCCACTTTCATCGAGCTCATGTCCTACCCTGCTATACGAACCCGTTTTCCGCATCTGAATGAAAGACAGATCTCGTCACTATGCTCCATTTTGAATGCTATCTGTCTCAATCGTATCCGGTCCGTACATCCAAACTACTGGCACAGAGCATTAAAGCTAGCGGCCAGTTGTACTGACGATCCAAGTAATCCGACTATTTCTTGGCTTGAGGACAACGTAATTTCACATCCGGACCGGATCGATGATTCACTCCGGTTTAATCACTTGTGTGAGATCGCGATGCCCGCGGGCATTGTACGACGTTGCCTACCAAGGCAAGAATTGCTCGGTCGATTAAAGTGTCTTACCTTGGTCGATCCCGCCGCGGACGGGGCTCCCAAAGACAATTTAATGGAACCACCGGATGCACATCGTGTACTACAACTGTTGGCTAGCCTCATATCCGTTCATACAGTTAGTCCGGTCTATGCGACTACATTTCTATCCGTGCTGACTGTGGACTATCAGAAATGGTTGACCGGTCTGGCCGATTCCGGCGAGTCAGACGAGCATGACACTCTGATACGCAGTGATTCGGCTCTCGTAGCCTCACTCAGTGCTATGGGATTTCTGGAGAGTGTCCTTTTGCTCTGGCAACCATGGCAATGGTATGCCGATCTGAATGGCCGGTCAGCGATCGCAAATCATCTCGGTCTGATTCAACTTAGCATGCGACTGAGACAACTGCGTCCGGTTCTCACACGAAGCGAGTGGGATCTAATCCTGTGCCTCATAATCAGCTGGGTGTGCTTCGTACTCGAACACATGGATGATCACAAACACCCCGGGGAGAACAAAACAGTCTCTGTTTTGGCCACACGAGCTTTTCGTGTAGCTGCTGCATTGGCGGCAATTTTTATCGAGCGAGTACCAGATCCGGTGCCTTTCGAAAAGTTGATTATACCCTCTGCTCAATCATCCAAAGCGATTGTTTCCAACGCAGAAACCCCGAGCGAATGGGAAGACGATTTTGACGGAGAGTTGATCGATAACGAAGAGGACGGTGAAAACTATGACGATCAGGAGCCAGTCGCTGAAGATGAAAATGATGACGCTGATAAATGCTCTAACGAGCAAACGGAGACATCCAAGATAACTGAGGAAGGACTGCTTGATGAGCTTGAAGACGATCCAGATAGTGTGTTTATCGAAGAGGAATTACCCCTATCATCCATGGATGATGACGCTATTGGAGATTCGGACATGACCAATTGGAATTCAGTGCAGAATCTACTCCCCCGAAAGGGTCGTCCGCCGGCGCAAATTCGAGATGATTGGGATAAATTTTTCGCACATCACCTTTACTCATCTTTACTACCCAGCGTGTTTCACTCTTGCCTTGCAATTGGACCCGGTGGTGCACCGGCCGTAAGTATCACGCCTCGGTCTTTACAGTCTCTGTGTGCTGTGTTTGCCACTTGTTCACTGTCGGAACTGCTACATTTACTCACCACGCAACCTCATCTGATTTTGGAATATCTGGTCGATTTGGATAGGATCAATGTGACTGGCATTCAGCATCAGATAAAACAGCTCATATCCAAACGTTCGGATTCCGGGGACGAACTAACCACCGGTTTGCGTGCATGCATTGATTTTGGCGCGAACCTCATTCGCTGTTCTCCGATTCAGTCCGGGCAGTTGTTGGGTCATGTGATTCTGTCTCGCGCTCTGTGTGCACGGATTCGACGGGCAGGATCGTTGAACACATTGTATTTGAGCAACTATCTTCTTCCTCGACTTCCGACCTCTTGGTTGCTGGCCCTATACGGTTCACTTCCTGCTCGTTTGGAACGTGATTTGAATTCAGATCGCGCGCTCACCGAGTGGGGTCGTGGTGGTAACGTGCTCACCTATCTTGTTCAAAATTCCATTCAACAGGGCTGGTTCCTTGATGTTGAGGCACATCACCAACTGCTTAGTTATTTGCTGTCTTGGGACTGCTTATTGACCATGCTCACTTCAGCCGGCCCCCAGGCTCGNTGATCGGTTTCTGCTCTGCCTGGGATTGTTGCTACCTCCGCCGGGCAATTTAGAATCGATGGTCACCAACCCGTGCCGTCTGGAGCCAGATGAGAGGTTGCTGCTGCCTGTATCAGCTTCACGTACCGATTTGATCGCTGCCATGTCCCTGCGCTCATCCACACGTCAACGACTTCGACGTCCAATGCGTTTGGCCATACCCGTTGCCTCGGGCGACGATCGTGACTGGCGTGATCCTTTCAGCCCAGATGACCGTTTACTCTATCTACCGGGAAATCGATTAGCTTCTGATATCAGTCATATGGCTGTTCGTTTGCTGCGCCGATTCCTTGCCGAAGCACCCGCACTCATGCGTGGTTGGCTCACACGTCTTTCCACGCCAGCTGGCATATCAGAAGATGAGTCTAATCGTGAAAAACCGGATGAATTGTCCACGGTCACCACCCAATCTCCTGTCACAAAGAATGAACTTTCAAGTGTCTTGTGCGGGCAGCGATCCGGACGGTTACGTCAGCTAGCGAACACGGTAGACAAGTTAGTCTCGCGTCATTTCTCGCCTGGTTTAGCTCGGGATGAAGTTTTGCTCGTTCAATATAAGGCTCAGTTGCGTGAGATGAAGCGTGCTGAAGGTGCCGGTCCTTCGGCAAAATCCAACTGGTTTAGTCTGCTCTCTGGTGGTGGTCCTTCAGAAATCGGAACAATCAATATCCGGGGTCGTCCTCTCTCGCGTGAGGTAAGTGTTATGCTTGTTTGTTTATCTTTCTTTCAATCGATAAAGCACAAATATCTCTCTTTTCATTCGTCTATTCGTAACTTTTTGGGGGGCGGGGGGGGGGGAAGGAATGAGGCCGCCATTGCATCTGCGTTCAATTATTTTGACTTGTCTCATCCACTGTTGCGAATAGACAACAAAACAGTGGTGTTGTTTGTCAACTCTTTGCTTTGGATTCTGCTCAGTTTAGTTTCTCATTTGTGCCGGAGTTGTAGACCCACTGTTTCCTGCAGTTTAGTCGCACTGAGATCACCTTACTTTACCTTACTGCGGCTGGCTCATTGGAAGGGTTAAGCCGGCTCTAGACATGATCATGAAGTTCCTTGGGAGTTTGGTACGAGAGATGTCGCCAGCTCTAGCCTTTGCACAACCAAGTGTGAACTGCAAGACAACAGAAAATAATCCCTCGCCTCGGAAGTGAGGGAGGGAGGGAGGGAGGGAGGGGGGAGTCAATGACTTTAGTTTTTAAAGACCAGTCATATCGTCCTTTGTCACTTCACCGTCATTGGCCTTAATGCGTCTTCTGAACAGAAGCCAGGTGATCAGCTTGAAACCCACCCCAACCTGGTAGTTAGTGCCGCCACTGTGTTCGCGACTGCTTATTTGTTGCGGTATGCCATAACGTATTCACAGCTGACCTTGTTCTATGAAGGTATCCCCCTATCCACAACCCGGGTATGCGCCTGTCAGCATTCAACAATGCTGAACCTTAGGGTCTGGAGATTTATCGCTTGCGCGCAAGATATCATTGCAATAATTTGGGCAAACAGCAACTGTTTTCATTGTCCATTGCGAAAGCGCTTGCAGATTCCTCGTTTCCCAGGGTGTTCATGGTGAGGGTCGTTTGATCGAGGTGAAATAGGAGAAACGAGTTTTGGCGATCCGGTTTTGAGAATGTTGCTAAACTGTTAAACTTGATCGTTCGGCCATGAGCAAAACATTGGGGTTATCTTCTTCTAAATCGCCTATTGATACGCGATTCGTATGTACGGTAATTCGCTATTCTTTGGTCGAATATATGCACCCCGAGGTGAATATCACCATCAAGAGATAGTCAGAACCCCTCCGAATCTCGTCTTTGGTGGTTCTGTACTGATAAAACAAGATGTTTACATACGGTATGGTAGACAGCAAGGTTGAAATCGAAAAGAAATATACATTCGAAGTTNTTGTTCGACCAGCAGTCCAACAAAGAGCACCGATGCGTGGTGATCAGAGCTAAGCAATAAGCAAACCAAGATGGCCGGTCGTCAAGATAAAGACGGATTACAGTCAACCAATAGGAAAGCAGGAAACAAGGAAAGTTGTTCGAAGAGTTTGACTACTGATGATAGTCAATAGTAGCGATGAAAGAATTAATCACGTACAAACGTCACATCGCCCCCATCTGACTCGCAGGTCACTAGGTCGTTTGATTGTTTTCCCGCTCCCCCCCCCGGCCGAAAGTACTACAGCCTTTGAAATAATCTTAATCCATTGCTTGCCCCCGTGTCAAATTTAGTTGTGATGGTTTTTTTGGTACACGCCTTAGTGTGATGATCAGGAGACGAGTTAACCCCCACGGTCACGAGGTCCCGCTATTCAGTCATGGAAGTCGGCAACCTAAGCCCCGTGGAACTTGGATTGACGAGCCACATAAGGTCCCACCAGGTTAGGCCTGATAGTGGATCGGACGACAACAAAGCTGCCCGCGTCATTCTCTTTCTTGATGAATGAAAAGATATTTTTTTCAATAGGCTTGGGGCTATTAGAAGTCCGCTATGTGGACTTCCACTTGACTAAACACATCTGGCCTCTGTCTTTCAGCCTGGTCACCCTCCATGCTTTGACCTATCCGGATGACGATCTAATTTTGCCAGGGCTGTGGACTACGGAACACGAATTCCTTTTCTTGATCATAAAATATGTATGTATTCAGTTAACTGCTTGTATGTTTTCGTTGTGACAGTGCTGAACTCTTCAGCACGGAATCAGAGAAACTTTTGTCAACCCAAATACTTGGCTCCCAGGGTCAACGCAGTCGCATAAATGTGCCATGGATAGATTGTTACAACGCTAGGCTCAGTTGTCGTCAGTGACCTCATTGTGCTTTTCTCACATTCGCAGATTTGTGTAGACTGACGTCCCAAACAATGCATCAGTAGTATTCACATGAGAAACTGAGGATGATTGTGGTACTCAATATTGTGCACAAATCACCATCACCATTGGCTTGTTTTACTTGTTTCTATAGATCATATCAGTACAGTCAATCAGTTTCAAACGAGGTTCGGCGGGGCCAAACAGTTGTGGGCAATCCACTACCCTCCTCCTCGCTCTGGAGGCGGGCGAGGGGGGAAGCAAATCATGTCCTGGGGGGGGGGGGAAGCCCACAACGCTTGAGATCGATGAGTTAATAACCTGAGCCGTTTGATCTTAATCAACACCTACCCCGCAAGTACAACGACTAAGTTGAACACACACACACAGTAGCGGACGAAATAACCTGGGTTGCAGAGACCAAAGGTGTATTTTATTCGAATAACGGTCCGGGTTCATTGCTTATCTGCCTTATTATGTCATATCTTCAGTTTTACCTGATGATTTACTGCTCCAGATCGCATTGTACTAAAGCTTCACCTCGAATTATCAAATTTTATCCTCATGCGATAATCTTTTTGGTTGAAAATGATTCTTGTGTGTGTGAGAGAGGGGGAATCATGAGAGATCAATGCGTTTAAGTATGCCTTTTCCAGGTGTGGTGCACTACATGCGTTTATCATTCTCCTCCCCTTTAACTGCGCTATTCCGTTGGATTGTGTACTGTTTCAGGTGATTGCCACATACCAGGTCACCGAAGAGCATTCCGTAGAAATGCTCATCCAGTTGCCAGCCAATTACCCGTTGGGTTTGGTCACCGTCTCTTGTGGTCGTGGTGTAGGCATTGGACAACAAATGTGGCACATGTGGACTGTTCAATTGTCCGTGTTCATCAACAATCAGGTAAGCTGGAATTGATAATTCTCGTGCCCGCTCCACCACCGTATTGTTTTCTCACGCTCAACCGGTTCGCATCCACTTGCCCAGTGTGTATGATACAGCGGGATATTATTTGGACAGTGTATGCAAGTTTGCCATAGATTGAACTCTTGCGCCTATTTTCGTTTATCTGGTCTCCGGTTTGTGTGCAGAGCGCTGTCATCCACTATCGCCTGACCTAATTTCAGACTCGGTGGATACTGATGACATAGATAGTCGAACTGTTGATAATTTTGTTCACAAATTTCCGGTCGTCTGCAAATTACATTGACATTCCCAAATCCATATTCTGGTTTTGTTGTTATTACGACTGTGAAATCATCTTGTCCTAGTCCATATCTACTGCCAGGGAACCATACAATTAGCTGTTATTCCCAACCATCATTTTTTTCTGGTACCCGTGTGTTGACGGTTGGGATCGTATTTGTTTACTTTATGCTCTGCATGACTCCGTTTACCATAATTCAACAGTTCGTCAACTGTGGGAGTAAATCAGTGAAGCCATAATAGGAGCGGATGCGAATCAGCACCGAAAAATGTACTTACTAGCAACGCTTCATCATTTCGGTCAGTATGTAACACTATAATGTACATAGTCAACCTGTAATGCTTAGATGATTGATTTGGGGGATGGAGTGGGGTGGATTGCCTATTCACTGACCACCTTTATCTCATTCTCAACCGATACTCGCGGTAGTAGACCGTCGTGCATTGTGGCTATCTTCATGGATTGTACACATTTGTACTGTTCCTATCTTTGAAGGTCACTCCATTCCGTAAGTACACCAACTGGGTGCTACGGCCCGTCCGTACTCTCGGCGTGGTTTGCTCGGCTGACCCCAAATAGTGCAGCAATATGGGTGTTTCACTTCTGACATATTTTTCATGCTAGTGCACCGAATAGCCACACCAATCGAGTGCAGGCACTCGTTGATGTTTGACACACGCACCCACTCACACAATTTGATGTAACAAGTGACCTAACTATAAATCGGCAAAAGGATAAAATGCGGTAGTGTAAACAAAGAAACCTTATTTTCTTTCAAGTGAGTAATGGACGATTTGATTCAATTTTTGAAGGTAAATTCGTCGTGTATATAGCAAATGAAACGTGAACTGAAAAGCTGCGAAGCACTGGACAGCTGTTCCGACCCGGTTGGGTCTCATCAGCAGTGCGAATCCATCGACCCAACTGAGGATCGAACCCGGCACCTCACAGGCAGAACCAAAGCGTAATAACCACTCGACCACCGGACAGATGATCAAACGGCTTTGTAAACGTTTCCAACCGGGTCACAACCCCAAAGACTAATGCTGAGATGAGTGAGGTCCGTGGCTTGCGTAAGCTCGTCAGTAGGGGTTGTGCTTAATCGTGCAAATGGGAAATGAAAAACGATTTGATCAGCTGCCTGGTGACCGAGTGACCGGGCATTCTTGCGTTCTACCCATGAGGTCCCGGGTTCGCGATCCCCAGTTGGGTCGATGG